TCAAACCATCTACTTAAATCTTTTAGCCATGACTTCTGACGCCTTCCTACTGATCTTTTTCTTTGCACTTTGCTCTCTATTATGAGGTACAGTATTTTGTATCTATCACCTCTCATCACATGACCCAGGTATTGCATTTTTCTTTCCTTGATGGTGTTCAGTATCTCTTTTTGTTTCTGCATGCGCTGGAGTACTTCATCGTTGGTGATCCTTTGTATCCATGAGATTCGCAGCATCCGTCTGTACACATACATTTCGAAGACCTCTACTCTCTTTCCGATCTGCGAATCCAGTGTCCAGCTCTCACATCTATAGAGTAGCACAGAGAAGACGTAGCATCTGGTCACTCAAGTTCTGAGTTTCGCACTGAGGTTTCGTCTTGTAAAAAATGATTTCATACTCACGAAGATTTTTCTCGCTTGCTCAATTCTTGAAAATATTTCTCTTTTCGGGTCGCATTGACTGACTATTGATGTTAGCTCCTAAATACTTGATTGAAATCGCTTCTTCGATTGTTTGTCCCTTGACACGCAGGTGTGCATTTATTGGAGTCTTAGAAAAGACCAATAGTTTGGTCTTGGAGACATTGAGATGCAGACCAAACATCTCACTATAGAGGACTACGGAATCTATGATGATTTGCAGTTCTTGTATATCGTTTGCTATTATAACCGTATCATCGGCATATCTGATATTGTTTATTGGGATTCCATTGAACTTGATTCCACCCTGCATTCGATCCAGTGCTTCTCTAAATATATTCGCGGAGTACAGATTAAACAGGAGCGGAGACAAGACGCAACCCTGTCGAACACCCCGTCTGTTTTGTATATCTTCATAATTTAATCATAACCATGCAAAGAATAAATATCAGTCATAAAAAATGCCCCCCCAAAAAAAACCGCGGGATTTAATGTCTCCGTACTACTCACCGGAATATATAAAGTGTTATATTTCGCTCTGTGCGTGACCGAACAATTTAAGGCAATTTAGCTACAAACAAGGAACTGAAGTGAAGGCACAACAATCTATAACAATATTTTAATGCTTTCTAACAGTGTGTTATTTAAAGAATGAGCTAAGCACTGTAATATTATTAAATAGGTAGATCAGCTGTCATGAGTTTCTAACAAATCACGCAAAAGGGCGAATAATAGGAGAAAAAATAGTTATGATTGAATTATTAGTTTCAGTAAAATATAGTGCAAAAAATTAACGTTGAAGATCAGTTCCTTATTTCTTTCACTTTTATGAAAGGCATTTAAGATAATATTAATGGATTACTTTACTGAGAAATATGCTAAAAGGAAATATATCTTTCTTCGGTAAATTTTTTTATATTTTTATTTACTATAATATGATTATTGAAGGAATAAATAAATAAATATACAGGGTGAGTTTCCTACGATGTTCTCTGGTATCTCGGAACGAAATATGGGTATCTCGAAAAGTATGGGTATCTCGGAAACTACTGGAGATAGAGAGTCGGTTAAATGGGGAAAGAATTGCAGTTTTGTGGCGTCATAAATATGCACGTTTCAGATTTTTGAAAAAGTGCATGGCGTACTAGATATTTCGAAAAAAACAAATTTTGGCTATTTTAAAAATTGTCCCTAATTCCATTATAATCTATTTTAGACAAAAAGTTTTCAGATAAAAGTTGTAGATAATCACATCCTTAATGAGATTGTGTCCTTCGTTTTTCTCTAAAGCCTGTCATTTTTGACATATGACACAAACATATGTTTTTTTAAATGGAAACCATAGTTGGCCATGACATAAAAAGCGCCATTTTTTAAGCTTTTCAGGGATATAAGATATAATATGTTTTCTTCGAAAAATTACTGAGTTATGGCCAATTCTTATCATTTTTAAACAATTTCACTTAGTTAGCCATGGAAACAAGTTCAATCGCCGTTGCTCTCAGAAATGTGAAGCTGTCACATCCAAACTTTATAAATTAAAATAAACAAAAATTGTAAATATGAATTTTCCAAATGAAGAAAAGCGTGTAGATACTCGCGCATCAATAGAGTGGTTCCAACATAACTTTCATTATGACCCCCCCCCCATAATGAAAGAAATGTTAAACATTATTTATATCATAATTATGTACTCAGGGATAGAAAGAGGTGGACCAATTATTGCATGGGCGTCCTCGATCACCTGACCTATCCATTTTAGATTTTTTTATGCGGTATGGTTAACAAGAAGGTTTACAAAAAACCTTATGAATTAAGAGAGGCACTCGAAGTGGCGGTACGAGAGAAGTTTAGTTAAGTCGACCGGTCCTTCTGTGAGAATAGGTAGTAATTCAGTTTTAAAAAGATGCAACTCAAAATAATGGCGGATTTTTTGAACATTTTCTAAAATAACTTAAAGTGTATGTAGTGATATTATTTTTTTAAGTTTTAGTTTGTGTAATGTAAATTGTAAAGAACCGTTTAATAAAATATTCTGACTTTTTATAAGTTATAAATCATAACAGAATAAGAATACCATGCAATCTAAGTGAAATTAGCCAAGGAAGATAAGAATTTGGCAATAACTGATTTAACTTTTCTAATATGTTTTGAAAACCGTCCTCTAAAAAACGCAATATTCACGGGTCAACGTATCCTCGAAAATGTATAGTCAAGAAAAGTTGAACCAATAATCCTACACGTCTTTCTTCAGTTGATATTTATATTTACAATTTTTGTTTAGTTAGAGCAACGACGATTGAACTTGTTTCCATGGCTAACTAAGTGAAATTTTTTAAAAATTATAAGAATTGGCTATAACTCACTAATTTTTTGAAGAAAACATATTATAGCTTATATCGCAGAAAAGCTTTAAAAATGGCGCTTTTTATGAAGTCATGGCCAACTATGGCTTCCATTTAAAAAAACATATGTTTGTGTCATATGTCAAAAATGACAGGCATTAGAGAAAAACGGAGGACACAATCTCATTACGGATGTAATTATCTACAACCTTTATCTGAAAACTTTTTGTCTAAAATAGCTTATAATGGAATTAGGGACAATTTTTAAAATAGCCGAAATTTGTTTTTTTCGAAATATCTAGAAAGCCATAAACTTTTTCAAAAATCTAAAAGGCGCATGTTTATGACCCCACAAAACTGCAATTCTTTCCCTATTTAACCGACTCTCTATCTCCAGTAGTTTCCGAGATACCCATAGAGAACATCGTAGGAAACTCACCCTGTATAATGCTTAATTGTACAAAAAGCCGAAATAGCTTCATCGACAAAGCATTTAAAAGACAAACAAAAGCACAAAAAATATACAGATAATAAAAAATATCATACAATACCTATCATACAATTTAAAAAAAATTACGTCATTAAAATTACAAATAGAACAACACAGACAATAGGAAAATTGTAAATGGATATAATCATTTAAGAGTTATACAATATTAAATTAATACTAGATTTTTAACCAGTGTGTGAGATAATCAAAATTTTAAAATTCAAAATTGTTCAAGATTAAACATCAACAAAAAAGTCGTTTACCGCATATAGGGCTCTCTCCAGTAAGTATGATTTCAGAGCTTTGCGAAATGCGGGAAAGAATGACAGCGACTTGATATCCAAAGGCAAATTATTGTACATTTCTTTGGCATTGTATTGAGCTTTTAACTAGTTCTGAGCTCGGGGTTGGCAGATAAAGATCGTGCTCCGCATTCCTAAGTGGATAGATATGAGGTGGCCTTTCGGGAATAGCAGATATGTGCTTGTGGATTAAACAAACGGTTTAAAAAATGAATAAAGAAGGAAGAGTCAAAATTTTGAAATGTTTAAAGAAATTCAGTTGGCCCTTAGGAAGATTGTAATTTATTTTTATATTGATTAAAACGATTTTAAAATCGTGTAGTTTAAAATTTCAGAGAAAAAACTTGAAATAAATTTATGTGTCTGGAAACGTCCTTTTTTCTAACCTTTCTATAATAAGTGTTAATTTTTGACAAATTCTGTGCCTCTAGAGAATGACCTCGCTAAAATTATCATCGATTGCCATTCCGCAACCGTCTTTGACGAAGTTATTTTTCGATCATGGGGTATAAATTCATTGTTGAAGTTACTAGTAGTTTAAAACTGGAAAAGATGCATGTTTTTCAAAAACAGTATCAAAACAGGTATTTAAAAAGTAAAAAATATGTTTTTATTGGAACTCCATGATAAAATAATGCCTCCATTCCCCAAACACCACTTTTATTGTACATTGCTGATATTTTTCAGTTTAAATAGTTACATCTTCTAAATTATGTTATCAACTTGAAACTCGAAAAACTTATAAATCTATATAAAATCTGTATTAAAAACAGGCTTACTTGGTGTATTATTTTAAAAATGGAAATTACAATATTTTCAAAAGTAATTTCATCACATTAATATTTACAGGTTACTTAGTTCTTTGTTTCTAACATAATAAAGCTCAAGATAGATTTACTTTATATTCAAGTATATTATTTTATTTATTATTTATAAATTCTTAGCTAATTTAATATTACTTCAAACTTTCTAGTACGGAACTCTCGATAACTTCCTGAGATATAAATTATTTATTGAAAAAAACATACAGCTAAGTAACACGCAGGTTTTTAACTATTTCGTTATTTTGTTGAAAGCTGTTTAATACAATATTTAAGAAAAGTTAGAACAAGGTTTTACGTAATAAACCTTTTATGAATATAGACTGATGCCGAGTTCTTTTTCTAGGTAATTCTAACATAAATAATTTAAAATTACTTCCTTACATCTTTAGTTTCACTAGGTCTTGAAAATAACATACAGGATGGTCCATTAACGCGAGGAAGTCCAATATCGTCGTCATTGTCAAAGATATGAAAATAAATTTTTCGTATACTCGCTATTTAAACCTGTGAATTTGTATATATCGATTGTTTACGATATTCTCCGATGGTGGCAGCACCCGCGGAGAATGCACCAAGCCTATACTTAATAAGGATTATAATACAATGAACTCTCTTACCGTATAAAGACTAAATATCCAAATTATCCCTGTGAATCCTCTGTCCGTCTAAACTTTAGTATGCTCTGAAAATAAAAATAATCAAATTTAGTTTTAATTGAAATTTACGCCCTATAAAGTTTTAAATATAAAATGAAAATTGGCACGTTGTCAGCGCAGTTAAAAAGAGGAAGAATGAAAACTAATTGTTTACGAAAGGCGGTTAATTAATTTAAAATGTCAATTTCAAAACGGTTCTCTTCGTGTCAGCGTACACTTTTTTGTCAGCATTCGCCTTTTTTTAAAAACTTCCTTTAGATTATGAAAATTAACTTCCTGCTGATATCGATTCTCTATCGCTTGCAGGCTTACTTGTTGAGAGGCTTAAACAACAAAATTATTTTCAGCGCGTTACAATGTTGCCGCATCATTTGAAAAGTGGTAGCATCTTACATATTTTCAATAGAACACCCGATATATTATTTTATTTTTGGAAACTACTTTCATATTCATATCCCTAATATTTTTTGAGATAAAAAATAAAACATATGTAAAATTAATGATGATTAAATTATCTATACTCTATACTAATATCCTTGTATATATATTTTATATAAAATCCTTAAGTGACTGACATACTGATTAATCACGATCCTGCTCAAACCACTCAACGTAAGAAGCTCAATTTTGGCATACAGGTTGATTCCAGGGTGTAGAGGTTCGATAAGAAGGGATTTTTCGAAATTCCAGTTCCAAGAGGGCGAAACCACCCCTCAAATATTACAATATTTTTTATTTAGAAAACGGTCAAGTTTCCGAAAAAACGCTTAAACACGTATATTTTATTTTGTTTTTTACATATTTTAAGATTTTTTAAAAATGTATACAGGGTGTTTTGAAAAATCTGGTCATTGATTAATCACGATCCTACTTAAAGCGCTTGACGTAAAAAGCTGATTTTTGGAAAACACATTGACTTTAGGATGTAGAAGCTCGATAAGAAGGGATTTTTCGAAACTCGAATTCTATTCTATATCTAAATTTTTTTAAGAAATCATACAGGGTGTTCCAAAAAGTTGGGTAATTTCCGAGGGGTAAACCGCAGAGGGAAAAGTGTACACCGTAATTCCTTTTACTCAAATAATTCCTCAGAATTCCTCGTAATTTCTTCGGAATTCCTTGGAATTCCTGGTCTTCAAGGTCAAGGTCAATCATCATTCAAGGTCTTCCTTGGAATTCCTTGGTACGAACTCGGTAACTCTTTCAGTCTGAACCAGCGTTGTCACCTCGGTTTCGCAGTTCCGCTATGAATTTTCTGGTGATTTTTATAAATGTCTAATGTCTCTATAAGTACTAGATCTAACAGTAAAAAGTACTCTTACGAGATTTACGTTTTTTTAGTTAAGTTTTAGGACTAATAGGGGATCATGAGGTGAAAATACTGGAAATGTGTCGTAACTTACTTATTAAAATTAATTTTTCTCGAGATTTTTTGAAAATGATAGGTACCTAGTTATACTCGTATCTATAGGAAAGGAAATTAATAAAACTTCAGTTGCACGTCATAATACGATCACCAGTAAATTCCATAAGATTACGCATGGTATCATTGATGAAGTGCACCCAAAGTTGTATTAATTTCCCTATAGTATATACCTAGGTATTATTCCGAGGAAATGAAAAAATCAACTTTACACTTTCTGAGTACTGAATAAAAAAATCTTATGAGGGTTTCTTTAAAATCGGCGAAATCAGGGAACGTTATAAGTAGATCTCCCGGGGGTGGTTCGGCCGTACTATTGGAATATATTTTAGATATATAATCGAGGGTACAATATTAAATTAAAAGAATATCTAACCTGTAGATATTTGATATTGGGAAATTTTGGAAGCGATTCGAAAACGAAAAACGGATAGTAAAAAATCGCCTGCAAAACGTTTTTCTTTAAATTTAGTACTACCTATTATAGTATTCATGGTTTACTAATGTTCGTTAATTTTTTATAAAGTTGCTTGTAATTCCTCTTAAGTCCTGTGGAATTCCTCTAAATTTCTAAGAAATTTCTTGGAATTCATTGGAATTCTTACGGAAATAATTGGAGTTCCTAGTAATTCCTCGTAATTCCTTGGAATTCCTGTAGAATTCCTGCATAGTATACACCATAATTCCTCTGCGGTTTACCCCTCGGTAATTTCTTAACCACGATTCTGCTTAAACTGCTTGACGTAAAAAGCTTATTTTTGGCGGATTTTTCGAAAGTCAAATTCCAACGAGATGAAAGTACCCCTCAAATATTACCAAGTTATATGATAATATCGCCATATTGTTTTTTCTCAAGCTGACATAAAAAATTAAATTCTGTCCAGTTTGTATGTTAATGGAAATTCTTGCTTTGCTTTATCATCACCATTAAAAATGATTAATTCGACGCGAACGAAGTCGCTGGTACACGCTAGTTTTATATAAATATATTCTGTGGAAAGAATGAGAAGAGCATTTTGGATAAAATAAAAACTCTTTCCTGTAATCTTAGATGTAATCCTAACATTTCATTTTTGAATTATCCCATTATTTATATTTTTTTATGAGACATTTTTAAGTAAAGTATTGATTTCAGAGATTATTTTAGTGACAAAAACAATAATTTTTTTAATAATTTTAATAACGTGTATGTCCACCTCTCGCAGCAATAACAACTCGAAGTCTTTGTCGTATCGAATGAATCAGGGAAGTTATTCTTTCTTGATCTATAGCGTCTCATAGCTTGATGAATATCAAGATATACGTAGATCAAAAAACCCTTTACCAGAACTAAGACTAGTATCCGTTAATGCTAGCTAGAGCTCTTATAAAGTTAGTGGACGACGACGAACAGCTCTTCAGGTTCATCGCACAAATGTTCGATTGGATTGAGGTCGGGTACTACAAGGAGGGGAAACCAATTTATATATAATAATAATTTATTTCAATTTGTTCCAAATTGTAATTTTATAATAGATGGAAATATCTTATTATCGAAGACACACGATTAACATGTAAAATATATTATTGAAACATAAATCCCCAGATGTGAAGAATGTGTTCTAAATATGAAAAACTAAAAAAATGAGAGCCAATTTTCAAATGATTGCTATGGGTAACGGCAAAAAGATGACTTACTATCGAAACTGTTGAAAAGAAAATTATGTGCAAATACTATTAAATATGGAAAAACAACATAATAAAAGTATATATAACTAGTTACAATTTTACCTAAACCCAAGCCTAATAATAAATATATGTGTAATGATAACACTGATAAGAAACGACAGTATGATAGGCCAGCTCTAATGGTTTTTATATCGTCCTTTATCGGGATTGTCGGAATGAGATTTGCTTCTGAATTGGCAAAAAGTTAATTGGATTCGTATTCACATCTTGTAGATTTATTACTTATATTTTCTACAAGATATATTATAGGTATTATTTTGGATAGGTTTTTATTAGATTTTTGAGTTGCGTATCGACCAGTTTCACTGCGACTTTTTAGATCTATTGTGGTTCTCTTCCAATTTCTAGGTTACATTCTTCAGTCATTTTAATAAAAAAATAAATAGGCCTATATACAGGGTGAGTTTTAAATAAGTGCAAATATTTTCAGGGCTGGTAGATCTCGATAAAAGGAACATATTTTTTCTCTTTACAATTTTTCAAATAAGTCCAAAGTAACCGAGATATTTTGCTTTGAATACGCTGGATCTTTTCTGGATTTTCTTTCTTGTAAATTTAAATTAGTATCTATGTTGCCATATTATAAAGATATTATGTTTTTTAACTAAGAATTAAAAAAAATCCAAAATATTTCGCAAAAAATTCCAAATTTTCAATTGGTTTTCGCGAAAAACATCACAAACATTATAGACGTATTTCTGGGGTCGAAATACTTACACTATCCGTAAAAATATTTGCACTTATTTAAGGCTCACCCTGTATATAATTAGAACATTTGTTTCTACATAAAACTGTTTCATTCAAAGCAAAATTAAAATACTCGAAAAAGTATAAATGTATGGTTTTACTCTACATGAAACGAAAAGAGTAGAGTTTGCAAAGGAATATGCGATAGTTATTTTCACAGTTATCTAGATAAAATGTTGTGAAACAACTTTGTCGACAAATTCCTCGCGGGGGCATAAACTGCGCGGAAACCTGGCATCATTATCGCGGTATTATAGAACACCGTTTCAGCTCAGGTCGTAACTCGTAACCTGCCAGTGCTCACACCTCGCATGTTCAGAATAGATCCTCCTGTGTTACGAGAACGCAGGAGTGGAGATATCTAATAAAAGGCAGATGAAAGAGGCAGCAGCGCAACAGCAAGTTTACTATCGGGAATTTGAACTTTATCATTACTTGATTGTCTTTTGTCCTGCGACGTATTTTTTAGAAAAGCCAAACATTTTTTATAAGTTTTTATTCTTGTATAGATTATTATTAATTTTGATTAACGTCATTGCTGTTTGTTTTTTTTTTTCCCTAGGCATCTATCATCAGGATCATTAGCCATATACAAGTCGTTATTGTTAACAATACAATTACAGGGATCTATCTCAATAGCCTCAAGGGGATCGCTCTTACAAGGACAATTCAAAATTTAAAAATCTACATTGATATAAACATTTAAAATTGAGTGACAAAAAGATAAAAAAATCAAAATACAAAAAAAGTAGAGAAACATAAACAAAAAACAAAAAAAAATTGGTAATTATTTATATCACACAGTATCACAGTTGGATTAGAGTATCACAGGCGAGTATCATAATTGATGGTATATATTAATATCTTTCAAAAAGTTCAATATATTTTTAATTTTTTCTTCTTCAGTTAAATTTTCACGAATTTCACCACGTATATCGAATCTCCTTCTTTCTACCGTATATTGAGGACATTCACATATAATGTGAGTTACTGTCAACTCAACATCACAGACTATGCACATTGGAGGTATTTCTCTTTTAAGCGGATATACATAAGAAGACGATGCACTCTGGATTCATCCTCTCGTCCTAGTGCAAGACGTAAGGATGGTGTTGACGGATCTTGTTT